CACACCAGCTTGTTAAGGTACATAATACAAGTGCTTCGACTAATAGTAAGCGCAGTTGGATCATCCATTCACCCTCTGGCCTAGTTCGTATCAAACGTCTTCCCCATCAGATACCTAATAAGACACATATAAAAAAATCTGATCTAGATCCAGATAGCACTCTAATGAGTTTTAAGGAGCTTTGTCAGAAGATTATCGCAACAGACGAGAAAGAAAATTGTGAGCTTGACAGAAGTGCGCACCAGATGGACTTTCTTCTTCAGTTTCTATGCACAAACTAAAGAACAAGCTATAGGATTCAACGTTACCCCATTTAGTCGTGGCAAGTATTTGCCAGGAGTCTTTCGATAAGATCAAGGAAAAGGAGGAATATCTAGCAACAACCTATCTGCAATATATAAAAGGATGTACTAGCAGTACAAGTTGAATCTTGAGAAAACACATTACTGATACCTTTTAAAGAGCACTATAAGAAAGATAAGAAGAATTCAGGACAGTACAATTATTTGAAAGAGGGATTTACATCAAAGTCCCGTTATATAAAGCATTGGCTATGGCAAAGTATACATTTGATAAACACTCAAATAATACAACTTAGTAGATATGTAGCACAGGTCACCAAATAGACCTAAATAATATCAGAATTGTAGGCAGAGAGAAAGGATTTTGAAGAATATACTGAGAAACAATAGAACGACGATACGCGACATGGCAACCAGAAGAAAATTGAAATAAGAGACAGAAAATACATATCCCACTCCTAGAAATACTGACTTCCAGGTATAGTCTTTCCGAAGTTAGTTGAACATGGATAAAAACGTGTAGAAATATAATTTAATGAGATTCATAGGCGTCTCTAAAAAAGTTTTCTGCTAAAGGTAAAAAATTATAATAATTTGTATATAATGTGTAGAAAAATAAATGTTCATTTGACCAACAACATATTTTAATTGTTTATGTCCTCAAACAATCTTATTATTATATTGATGGTAAATTTCGTTTTGTTCGGTTTAACACGTCTCCAAAATCCTATATTGTAATAATATTAGTAAACAAAATATCTCTCTTATTTCTCACTTTCGCAATTGTAATATGAATGATTAATATAAGGTGCCTATAATAAATTAAAATTACTTGAATCACACCAAATTCCGCATTGCTGCATTGCACTGCTAGGCCATTTGTTGACAACTGAATTTATGGCCAGGTCGGCCAGTGCGGCTGTGTTTGCGCCGCGTTTACCCGCGCGCTCCTTCTTCAACTGGGCGACCAGACCTGTGTATGGGTATGGCTAAATAAATATGGGAACAAGATTTTCAAATATTTCAATGCCGAGTTGCTGCGTCAGCGACTAACGTGGTACATACTGCCAACCTCTTGGTTCTTGAATTGAGATCGGAAAGACTATACCAGATTTTATTATTATGTATCAGCAAAATGTGAAAGCAATTCATAGCACTTGATTTTTAAAGATCTTTAAAACATTTTGCTAATTTTCTTGAATTATCAGAATCGACTCAGATAACGCTTAAAAAAAGTTTGTTTACCTTCTGCAACTCCTCTACTGCGAGAGATAAATTTTCGGTTAGCGCTATAACAATTTTTATAAACCTTCTAGACAATCTTTTGTTTCATTATGATTCTACATTCAATTTTCACTTCAAATAGCCCAGTTCATTCTTTTTATGGAGGTGTATTAGTTTGTAGGTACATTTAAAAATTTTCAGTCACATTTTGAACAAAAACAGATTTTTGCACAGTTGACCATTGTCAGTGTTAAAATTTCTAAAATTCTGTTAGCACCAGTCGATGCAGGATACTAATCTATGTAATACATGAAAATATAAATAATACCTATAGTTATAAAGTTACTTACAAACGACAAACAATTGTAGTTTAGGCCTCCTTGAAGATTACAAAAAACTAAGAAAAAAGAAGTTAACATTATTCAGAATCACTTAATTTCAGAGGTTTGCATTATAACCTTTATATATTTTTTAACATTTCCAATTAATTCATAAAATTAGTTTTCTATAAAAAAATTAAATAATCATACGTTGAAGGAACTGACAAATGATTAACTCATAAAATTAGTTTTCTACAAAAAATGAAATAATAATATGTTGAAGGAACTGACAAATGACTTCTGCCATGCTAATTATATGAGATCTTTTAGTTTAAAACGTACACGATAACACGAATCAACGCGCCCATTTCATGTCGTGTTATAATTAATTAAACCAATTTACAGGAAGTTACGGCATACCCGAAATCCCTAGTTACTACCACGGTTGATGCTGGTAATTACCAGGCTCTTAGTTAATTTTATTCCATTTGCAGGAGAAGGGGTAAAATGTCGCGGAACTACTTACATTAGATATAATAGAAACAATACATTTTTCGCTATCGTAAAAGTACATCGGTAAAATTCCTCATAATTACGGATCAAGTGGTCAAAATGTATGACGGAGGAGGGAAAAAAATAGAAAGACTTTTAAGAAATATTTTAGACTATTTGGAAAACATCCTGTATATCTTCGAAGGAGACGAAATTATTCTCTAGTTCATTTGAACTATTTAATGTTAATTTGGGACAACCAATACACAGTAGATGAATTAAAAGACACAGTGTATATTTTTGTAATAAATCAAAATTTTCAGAAACTTTTCGACCACAATAGAGAAAATATCTACTATCTGTTGTCAATCAGGTATACAGGATGATTCAAAAATGGTGACTAAAAATGAAACCTTGTATTCTTTGGTGAATTTTAAGGAGAGTCTTTCCTATAAAGTTTTTATCTAGGACGCTTCGTTAAAAAGATACAGGGTGTTAATCTTCAGGGCTTTTCCTAATGCTCCAGTGGCGCAGATACAGGGTATCGGTGGCATATTTTTCTAAATAAAATAGTACGCCACTGCTTTACGGTAACAACTATGATATTTTTGGATTCGCCTTTCAATTTCCTACAAATTACTACTCTCTTATGTTTTTCGAAAAAAGCGTGATTTTCGAATAAAACTTAAAAAATCTACTGTAAACACTTTTTACTTAAATGACATAACATCGGTATATTCGGTTATTTATTCGAATAAAGAAATTAATAACATTAGTCATCACTTTAATGATTTTATTTGAGTAAATGTTCAAAAATACCTTCATTTGCACGAACACAAGCGCGATATATTTTTAGTAACAAAATGTGATTTGTTCGAAATTTATTGTTGCTTGAATCTAATAAAAAACATTATTTATGTATTTATTTTTCTCGAAAATGGTACATGCTGCCGAATTTCGACAAGTATACCTTTTTTTATAGTACTTATCCTTTATAGTTTACAGAACCGTTTAGAAATGTAATAAACTTTGACTTTTAACATATTTTTTGTCGATTGTACTCCTTCAATTACCTGTATCGGCGACACTGCTTTTCATAACAGTTTGCACATTATTCTTAACGCACAGTTGATGTTTACTAGTATACAAATTTTAACATTTTTATATTTAGCCGATTTAAATATAATTAAGGAAAATCATTTGGAAAGTAATAATTTCAACACACTGTATCTCGAAAATAGGGCGTCTATGAAAAAAAGTTTACATGAACTACCCCTATTATTTTTTGCACACAAGTTTTTTTGAAACATGAACGAGACACCTGTATATTAATTTGGCAACTACATAATAAGGATACAGAAGGACAATTCCATAAAAAATCGATTTTGAAAGATTTCAAAAATAAATTAGACCTACATATTTTCTTTGTAAATTGCATACATACAACAAAAAAACACTGCACTACAGAAAAAAAATAGAAGAAATGACAAGAGTAAACAAATCAGTACCTTTATGATTTTTCTGGCTTAATGCTACCGAAAGAAATCTGAACACTGAAATTAAGGAAAACGACATTCGAAATCCTCTGAATATTAATTCCTCTGTCATATGAATCTTTCATTAAATAGAATAAATAAGGATGACAATTTAGATAATGTTTTTACTAATGACGTCTGTAATTCTTAAGTTTATTGAGTCGTTTCACTAATGGTTTGGTACCACTTACAAGTATTTAATATTTCAGAATTTATTCAGGAAGTAGTTGAGGTAACGTATTTGCTTTGTATTCAGTAATGTCTGATTTATACTAGATTATTCGAGGAGCGTTTAGTTCCGATTGTACTGTATAAGTTGAAACGGTAGTCAAAGTTCTGTTGTTCAAAGTTTAAACTGCTACATGTGAAATTACTCATAGGTAGACCCGCTCTTGTATGTTAATAACTTGTTAACCATTGACCATTTGTTTTAAATTCATTGTGGTCATATACATTCGAAGCCTTAATAATAATATTATTCGTATTTCACAATAGGAAGGGTTACAATTAAGTAATTTATATATTAAAATAGAATAGGGTCAACGTTTACAATGAAATGGTTAAAATTTCCTCAATTATTTGAATATTTTGATTTGTTTAAGCTTATAATTTGGGGTGGGTGTTCCGAAAGTCCGTCAGGAAACTCCGGGAGGTGAGTCTACGGATTAAAATAATAATAGTACCTACGTAATGAACATTTTTTTCGAATTGTCAATTGCTTGCAAGTTACAGCTTGTCAAAGTTCAATTTTTTTTATTTTTCTATTTAAATAACTTTTTTAATTCAAGTTCGATTAGTCTCTCATTTGGCACACTCACTAAGTAGATGAAGCTCTATTGAACCAATCAAAGAAAAGTTTCAATATTCACCGCTAGGGGGCACTTTACCCTGCACTCAAATTTTGTTTTGTTCATAACTTTTTTCTCTTGCTGGACATCGTAGAAATTTAAACATTATTGAAAAGACAAACAATAGCAGAGAAAATTATGTAGGTACTCTTTGTTCAGGCCGATAAATGTAACCGTTTACCAGGAAACCGCTATTAATAGCTATTAAAGTGTTATTAAACATCAATTTGGTCAATGCTTAGGTAATAAAAATAATAAAAACATGTTTTTTTTTTTCAGTTTCTTTATGGATTGCTTGGAACTGAAGTCGAGAATGAGAAATGTGGATTATCCTAGCAGGAAATTCAGAAGAGACGATGAAGTAGTTTTACCAGATTAATTAATGAACAAACTGTTAACTTTTCCGTGATTGTGATTGTAAATGTTGTACCCAAACAATTTGATTTAATTAATAATGTGTATAATTTTCTTGTTCTCTAGGAAGTAATAAAAAAGAATAAAAGTATAATTTGATTAATTTTTTTGTGTTATTTAAATGACGTTCATATAAGATGGTGTTCTGGAACCACAATGCTGAAACAAAAATCTGAGTAGACAGTTTTTTTTTTATAAATGCATGCACTAGAATTTCCTTATACGAAAGTAAACAAATAAACAAAATAAATATAATCTGTCATATTTGACTCAATAATAAAAATTTTAATGTTTTGAAAATGTAAAGAGATAGTTGTGCAAAGTATAGTGATATGCGATGATTCTTCAGTAAAATGATCATTTGAAAAAAGTTTTATTAAAGAATAACTCTTTATTTAATAAGGTCTTTTAATATTTCCGCACTTACTAACTCATGAAACAGATACATACGTACCTTAAAAGCATAATTAGTTTATCACCAAGGTTCCACTTTCAAAAATATTCCAAAATTTCAAAACTTGTACCTACTTGTTTCTTAAAAGTGTTTGCTGAAGACTGAAATTAAATATGTACATATTAACTCTCAAATTTGTGTGCTAAATTCATTACATTGTCGTTTTTATGATTCTAATTCAAAGTGCTAAGCTTACTGCTAATAAATCATTATATTTTGAAAACGTCTGGAGCAAGAATAGTTTTAGAATCGAGACTGAATTAGGCGCTTCTATATTAAAGCGTCGTAAAGGAAATTTGGGGCCTTATTTTAAGGAATTTGGTGTAATTTCGCCTGAGTGCAATTTTGTATAAGTAATTATAGGTACCTACTTAACTTTGGATAAATTACAATATTTTGGTTGCCTCTACAGGCATCTAACTTGTGTCGGTTTCTATGCTAGCCACCCTGTATATGAACCTATTATAGATCAAGATTTGTCAAGAACAAGAAAGTGGGCAGGCGTAAAGTTACTTTAACATTTTTAATTCCATCCATAATAATTGTGGAAAATGCAGGCCATAGGGCCACTTTGCATTATATAGATGAAGAAGAAGATAACCTAAAAACTTCCTATTCCTAACATTGTGTATCCCACTTTGAGACAAAAACATTGAAATTCCAAATTAATGTTCCTTTCCTAATATGAGTAATAAAACTGATGTTATTGGATTGAAGAATTTCTTTATATTTAACTCTTTATTAGGCCCAAAAGAAGGAGAGGTTAGTTAGCTTAAGTAACATGTAAGAAAGTTTAAAGTACACATGAATATTTTAAGGAATTAAAAAAGATATTGTACTACTACCCCATAACTGATAACACAGATGTCCAAATAAAAAATGTTGGTCTCGTCGAAGGAATTATTCAGTTTACTGAGTAAGTTTAAATGTAAGTTTATAATCAATAACGATTCATAAATTCTAAATTTTCAGGACTTTTAAGCCTATCACCTCGGTTAGTTCATTACATACAAATAAAACAAGGCAACTATTTTTTCAGCCTGAGAAACATTATTGGATAGTTCTGGTAAGAGTTACGTTTGGATCGTATGAAATCTAGGGCATTTTTAGGTACACCATATTATATTTATGTTGATTATTTTAGACATTATATATACCAACTGTCATTAAGACTAAAGATAATGCACAAAGTGAAGAGTATTTGGAAGATGATTTACAGGATAATGTTTATGAAGCCGTGCTGAAGCAAGCTTACTATATGTATAGATTGTTTTGGGGAACTTTTGAAGGTGCAAAAGATACTGGAACGCTTAAGATGACTTTAGAAATTTTTTATAAAGCTGTAAGTAGTAAGTGATAATAAATAAGAGACTGTTTACTCGGCTTTACTTTCAGTACTTGAAATCACTGAAACTGGCAAATTCAGACATTCTGAACATATTCTCCGGAATCCAGTATCTGCCTTTAGATAAACAAACATTCCTAAAAGTGCAGTGTTTTATAAATTTCTTAGAATCCACTTACCCTGTAATCGAACATACAGCCTACCTTTATAACGACCATTTGATATGGTAAGTATTTTTTTATTAAATTTTAAAATTACGTCTCTAACTCTTATTTTGTACGTCTTTATTAAATTTTATGTTGGAGTAAAAACAGAAGAAAAATTTGCAGAAAATCTTATGTAACTTACGTTTTACATTGAGCAATGCAATTTGTTATAAACGATATTAAATTATTCTTAGGAGTGGTATTGAACCGAGTGACATGCAAATCGTTTACCAGTACTTGATAGGAACATTATTACCGGCCAACATTGAGACAGAATTGCAAGGAGGTTCTATGCCTAGAAATTCCTCTTCCCCTTTTGCTGCTCTACGACACGGGCGATTTATTACAGGACCGTCAAATTTGAAACTTGCTAAAACTGTTGGAAAAGTTCCGAAAGTTTTTATGTTTAGTAGCGGGAAACCAGAGGAATATTATTTAGTTGTATACAGGGCTTTAAGCGCTTCTGTATGTTTATTTATAAAAGGTAGGTGTAAGTCGATTTTTTGTAAATAGTTTTTTAGGTTACGATTTTCCTTATCAAACACCAAAATATTTTTCTATTAGAATATACATAACAAGCTATCATTATTTTTTAATTCCTACATTTTGATTAAAAAAACTGAACCACCCTGTACATTTTGTACCTTCTGATCATATTTCAGATGATACAGAATTGACAGTAGACTTATTTAAAGAACTGGACGAATTTATTAGCCCAAAATTAGTAAATATTGTGTCAGATATAGCAGAGTACTGTTCGAAACAAGTTGTGACTCCCTCCAATTTACCTGAAAACTCCCCACGATTCATTTACTTCAACAAGATGAATCTCGCATATAAAAGTACAGTGCACCTAGATAATAAACAGACAGGAAATTTGGCTTGTAATAAGGAGTCCGTTAGAATAATGGCGGACATGAATAGCAAAAATTCGGTATTGGGACAATGTGGGGAAACCATCGTGAAGACGATGAATGACTATTGGGTGGTAGGTAAAACGTCAAATGCGAGAGAGTTTTATATAGCGCTTCAGCAGAAAAATGCCAGCCTAATAGACGTTAGCGGTGAGTTGATTAATCTTTTTATATAATATAAGTACATTAGTTCCTACTACATACCAACAAATATAGAGAATTTATCTTACAGTCAAATATGATTAATTTATTAATTGTAGGGAATATAAAAGTATAAATTTTAGTTTATCTATTCCAAAAAAAAACAGTTTTGCTGACATGCTTTTTAAAATCGCCCTGTATACAGGGTGTAACTTTGAGTGGGGTCATATTTTTACAAAGGCTTATTTTGACCTTTAGAAACATGTACCAGTAGTTTAATTTTACTAATTCCATTGCGAAAACTCAATTTTTTTTAACCGTTTCTTTTAGTAATTGTCATACCGCTGCCAAGTGTAACCTCAAATAACGGCGCACTTTAGTTCCAGAGCATAGGGAATTGGGCTGCGCATTGTTGTCAAATCTCATATTTAAAGGAAAGGTACTGCTCTTTGGCGTGTTACTTCTATTTATTGGAGCCCTATTAGACACAAAAACGAATGTTTAATTCTTTTAAATAAGATAAACTATGAAACGGTACTTAACAAGTAACTTCACAAAAAACTCAAGCATACATTTTTTTTATATTGTACACATCTACAAATATACAAATACAGGGTGCACGTGCTATAATTTTTTACCAGTTTAATAAACATTTTCTTATTTGGTACTTATAAGTCGCATTAATCTATATGATATTGTCTCCTTTGCTCCTGGTGACTTTAAAATGACACGTCGTTAAGTTGTACAAAAGCAATCTGTTTTACCAAATTATTTTTCATTGTCACTTTCCCAATCTGGGTTGATTTAAAAACAACTGGCAACGTTAATAGTGCACTAATACGCAAATTTCTGGTGCCCCGGTTTACATCGTCCAGTGGCGGCGTACATAAGAATTAAAGTGCATTTTAAAAAATTTATTAATTGTAACTCAACTATGTATTTAATTAAAAAAAAAAAAGAATTTCAGATTTGTATTCAGAGGAATATATACTATAACCCCTAAAACACTGACCCCATTTATAAGTACACCCTGTATGTATACAACTTTTTTATCATTTTTTTCTAAATTTAAATACTAGAAAGTTAAGGTGAAAGAGAATATTGTTTGCAGAATAAGGTCTACATATTCTAGATATGACATTTTCTAGTTTTAGTCGGTGGTATATCATCATTTAGTTATAAAATGTAATGACATTTGCACACCACTGCATTTTTCAAATCAACTGAGACTATACCTGATAATAGAAATTCATCAATTCATCAATTGCTATATAAGTTTTCAACATATAATTAAAATTACATTAAATTTTTTAACTTCAACAGTAATCGTAAAATCTACTGATGAAATTTGGCACATTCTTTAGCAGACACCTTGTATATTGTGTTCTGTAAAAAAAATATGCTTTGCTAAATTATCATTTAATGTTCATATTTTTTATTTTCAATAGTTACTAGATAAAGTGTTGAAGTACATAATCTTATAGACTATGAATAATTATAATTATGTCTACATCTGCGTATTTGTCGCTCAATAAATTTGGTGGTAAGATTATTTTATTATGAGTAATCTATAAACAAGAGTGATAATTTCTGGTTCACTTGATATAAAAATCATATATTACTGGCAATTAATATAACAGTTATCAATTATCATTATAATAAATTTTGTTTTTATTTAACAAATATGTCATTTACACTTAAAAGTAAAATTTAATAACTTATTTTGTTTGCTGTAAATAATAAACACTTATTTCCATATCTAGTACTTATAAATTAAACAGCGTGAAAGATTAGCAGTTTTTTTGAAAATGTACAAGTGATGTTCAAGAAAAATTGTATTAGGTGTTTGTAAAAACATTTTAGTGTTTTGTTCAGTTTTTCATACTTATTTTTTATCAAAAAATAATGCTAGGCATACAAATACAAAATTGTATCTAATATTACTTCTGAAGATATAGCTAGAGTTTGGGATTGTCAAAAAATTGATTCTTTTTATGTGCGCCCAAGAAAAAAAAAAACAAATATGAAAAATATCACTTGTCATTGCATTTTCTATTACATTGTACATTTTATATGTGAGTAAATATTAATGCTATGATAGAAATAACATTAATGCTGATGAAATATAATAAAATTTGCTTAACAGGCACACGAATAGGTGTTGTGTTAGAATGGTCAGTGACCTGGATATTTTGAAGATTTGATAAATCAGTTTAATTTTCAGTCATATGTACTAGTATTTCTAAGAAAAAAGATCTTTAGCAATTTTATTCAACGGATGAACTGTTTAGAGTTAATGATTTTTTAAATTTACCAGACAATTGAAAACATTGAAAACCTAAAACTTGTTACAAAAATAACCTAAGAATTATTTGGTGTAATAATTAAAAAATAAAAAAATTATTGATACAAATAATTTGTTATTTAGAAAATTCAAAACTCTCATGTTATGATTTTTCTTATTTTTTTTTTTTTATTACAATATTCTAAATTGTATTCTAACAAGAAATTCCCCCCTTATTTTTTGTAAGAGATAGTTATTTTTGAAAATTTGGTTGTGTAGCACATTTTTGTAAAATAAAAAAGTTGCTCTAAACTCTAACTCGTTCTTCAAATCAAAGTGAGATCTTTATTTTTAGAATTACCACTGGGTATTAAATTAATACTGATGGAATTTCTAAGCTGTATTTGTAAGTGAGTTGGTGAATTTTTGTCTGCATCTTCAGAGGTATTTGAGAATATGTTTTTTACGCCTATATCTCAAAAAGGTAGCATTCTAAGCTTTTCTCTTAAAATAATTTATTTTATGTGTAGCTTCTCAGTTGAAATCGGGACTATCCTTTATACATTTTCAAGCACATTGTGATTTCACAAAATTGTTTTCTATTACAGTAATTTACCAATGCTATTTTCTTAGTTTTTTTTTTAAGAATTAGGAGAAACGTATGTCATCAGAGATCTATTACTAAACTATTGTTCTAAAATAACATTTTCTATTATTTTTTACTCATTAAAAATGCCTTTACGTTTATTACTAGTTGATATTAAATATAATTTTTGAATAAAATCAGACACTGGATACTTAAAAATTTTTCATTTAGTTATTTCTATATCGGTGATAATGTATTTTTAATGATGCAATTTAAGTATCTATTTTCAGCTTTTCTTGTTATTTTGGCATAATGCGAAATAATTTTTTCTTTCAGTGGAGGTCAAGAAATTATGTGATACTGAACTGAAAGGTATATTCTTTCATCCAATGTGATACTTTTTTCTTAAGATTGTCTCATAATCTTACTTGTATGTATGTAATCATATGTATATCAAAATAAAACTGTATAAGCATAAAATGAATTTTATTTAAAAAATCCATAACAAAAAAATACAGTACTAAAAATAAATCACATTGCTGTGTCTGTATAATTAATAATAGAATAATTTAAGTATTTTTATACAGATCACTCTATTACTTTCAAAACAATGTCATAAAAATTGGAACATAATCTCTATAAATAAATCAAGTCTTTTCGTGAGTAAAACAGTACTAGGAATAATGTTTTATGAGCTAATTTGTTTAGAATGAAACTGATTAAAAATTACAATCATGTCAAAACAGATCAATAGCCCTTAATTACTTTTATTCTGAACTTATGCGATGCATAAAACTAGAACTCTAGTAGTTTAATATTCCTTTGGAACGAAGGTCAGTTCGGTTTGAGTCTGAGTGAATAGGATGAGCAGTTGCGAGTCTAAACCGACGTTTTCAACTCTTATGACGTGTGCCTCGGAAGCTCTGGGTTCCTTCCTGACCACTGCCAAACCGGACACCCTCATTAGAGATTCATCATTTTCTGTCGAAGCACCACCTGTCCTCGCAAGACGAATGTGGCAGATTACATCGATATGTATATACTTCTGAACTGCGTAACCAGAAGGAGTCTTAATCTGTGGAAAATAGTACATATGGATTAAAATTTTTTTTTATTAAAACGATTTAGTTACCTTTTCTGTTCTTTCTTCAATTTGAGGACGATCATTTCTAAACACCTGAGCTTCTCCAAGAACTTGTTCCCCGGCTTTAATAATGAATTTCATCCCTTTATGAACAGCTCTTGGTTCCAATCCTAAACCATCGGGATGATTGTCAGACCAAAGGTAATTGTCTGGTGAAACTAAAGAATCTGGTTGGAAAGTTAACCTCTTTGCGTAGCCCATTCCAATGCTAAGAAGCTTCAATGCCCTTCCACCAAAGAGGTGTTCCTTCCTATCGTTTGGTCTGACTTTGTAGTAAAATCCGGGAATAACTCTTGGGTCAACGTACGTTCCTGTAAACAAAATTAATCAGTATCGTATTCATTTTCAGGAGATAGTGTAACCAACTCACCAACAACGGGTATTTCATACGGCTCCAAACCAGTCATGGTATACTTGGTGGGCACATCGTTAATTTCCTCACCCCTCACAGTGACTCTCCTGTGGATCTTCTGCATTCCTGGTAGCAAATAGAATCTGTGCCTATTGATATTAACATTATTAACCTTTGTAACCTCAGCATTACGTTTCCCTTTGGCTTTGACCGACACGGCTGTACCACTTAACGGCATCAGTTTAGCGACGCCGGTTTCATAATACTCAACTTTACCTGTAAATTTAACACTGGCTCTTTTTTCAATGCCGTCTTTCGTTTGACTACTTTTAATTTCTAATTGTGGTCCCTGAAAGAATGAGTATCATAAGGAAATGTAAACTACACAGTGAAAGTTTTTCTTTAAAAGACTTACGACGCCCCACTCTGCTTATGCGGGTGGTTTAGGTTTTGGAACTGCCCCAATTGAACTGGCTGGGATGTGTCTGACAAAAACATGTTTTCGAACATATGCGCAATTCGCCACAAATACATAAAAGAATTAAAAAAATATTAATGGGTAGTAGGCTCACCTCTAAACTGATGACTTCTACGGTCCCCTGGGCCTCCTTGTTGGTATCGAAGAAGGTGAACTTGTCTCCTTCGGAAATCAACTCCAGTTCAAAGGCGTACCCCTCTGGCCTGTTGTCGCTCCAGAAGTAGTGTTTGTTGTCATTTAACTTGTTCTTGTCAGCTTCGAAAGTGAATCTCCTGGCGTAGCCCCTTCCAATGCTCTGAAGTGTCAGGGCTCTATTATCAAATAGGCATTTGTTTGCTGTTGAAGGTTTGCCCACTTCAGGTAGAGGTCTAACGCGGTATTTAAAACCAGGAGTGACTCTTTTGTCAATGTACACACCAACGACGGGGAGTTGATGGGGTTCGAGGGCACAAATGGTGTATTGTGCCGGTAGATCCCCAAGGGAAGAAGCGTCTAACTTTACGGGTCCTTTTTCAGGAGCTGGTACTGATATTGGTTTTGATGGCAAAAGAGGCTCCTGAAAAACATATTTGCATGTTACAGTAATCTTTTCTGATACACTGGCTATTATTGATTAGAAAAATTAAACAATTTTTGATTCCCTTTCATTTAGATTTGCTTCATTATAGTCCAGACGGTATCTGTTTCAAAGAGTCCATATTTGGGTGAACATTATATCCACGGAGATTTTTGGCTTTTTGTCTTTCAAATATCACTAGAAATGAAAATTTTTCTATGCTCATAAAAAAAAAACATGGGCTTAACTTTTGGTGGCACAATATGTTAAAAAAATTTGGAAACTGTCATATTTTTCTTCCTATTTAATTATTTATCTTTTCAAGAGTTGATTTTAGGCAGAAATGGAAGAGGAAAAAAATGCTTGTATTTAAATTTTACAAAATATGACTAGTTACAAATCGAATCAATCATGATTATTGTAAAAATCGAAAAAATTGCCAAAAATAGGGTTAAAAAACATTATTTTTTAGGGAATTTTTTGGGGTCATTAAGTTGGGTATAGGACCTTCATACTTGGCTCAAGAAAAGTTCATGTTATGTAGAATCATGACACCAAATTTTATCAAAATCGGTTAGATAGATTTTGCATAATAATTTTGCAATCCAGATTTTGAAAAAAAAAATTCAAATTTTCAAAGGACTCAGATTCAC